TGAGTCGAAGGAAACAATCAAGGACTTCTGTTCTGCCTTAGAAATTAAACTTTTCATAGAATCTAATTGGCATCTGTGTTTTTCAAACATAGTGATATAAACCTGGGTGTCGTCTGCATATTTTTGAGTGGAAATGCAATGGCAGATGTGGGAAAAACCACCAAAAACATGTTTAAGATGGATAAAAACAGCATTTTGGGGGTATTTGTAAGTGGAAATGTCCCTAAAAGAGACATAAAATGAGCTAAAGGGGGAGCAGATAGCACAGAAACTGTAAAGGTCCCGAATTAGAGCCGTGTGGCACCCCGGAAAAACCACCAGAAAACTGTTTAAAAAGGATAAAAACTGCTTTTTTGGGTGGAAATGTGAAGTTCACTTTAGAAAGGAGGCGTTTCTGTTGTGATTTCCAGCTCAAAGACGTCGTTCTGAGGCTGCTCGCCGGGGGAAAAACGTCTCTTTTACCCCCAAAAGTGACTCTCCGGTGCACAGTTTGGTGGTTATCGCATTCAGTTATTGCACTAATAAGTGGATTCTCTGAATTTTAGAGGGTCAGAGTGGCGTCCAGTTATCCGGAGAAACTAAACGTTTCCTGGTTCAGTCGACTTTCAGACAAACAGGAAGCAGAAAACGAGTCTTAATAACCTTCTCCTACTTTTCTCTCTGTGTAAGTTGTGTTTTCAGCTTCGTATCATAATGGGGAACGCGTGTAATTATTAATGTTAGCATTATTATGAATTTTCGTGGTCGCAGAGGCCCCGATGACAAAAGCCTCAGTATAAGCCGAACCATTAGGAGGAAAATAATTATTAGGGGAGGTATTTTCTTGGTGTTGTGATTGCGGGGTCATTATGCTCTCCCTAATGAAACAAACCAGCCAGAGAGCCTCCCTCCATCTCGGCTGTAGCCGTTATCATCACCCTTCAGAGAATATAAAAAGGAAAACACTTCAGCAGCAGGCTAATTAAAACCAGAGAGGTCTGGATGAGGAGGCCAAACAACCCACACAGGTGGCGAGAGCTAGCTTGCGCATCTCTGAGCGCGTCATGTTTATGCATGTCTCCCTCTGTAGCGGCTCCCGCTTTCCTTATTGTCGTTTTCCGAGTGAGTTTCTGCTTCTGGAGGAGCTTCTGTCTCCCTCCCGGCTGACAGGACCCAGCCGAAATGGGCCACCGGTGCTCCGTAATTAGTTCAAATGTCGGAGCCCGTGAATTATTGATGGCCGGAGGAAGACATTTCCCCGTTTCGCGTCGGCTGTTTCTGTTTTTTGAAGGACAGCCGGGGCTGTGAGGCGGGAGTCTCTGGTGGGGAGGCCGAGATAGAGGAGTTTGGGGGAGTAATTACACAGTAAAACTGAGATAATATCTTCTTTTTCAGCGCGAACAGCTGGTCCAAGAGAGAGCCAACGTGTTTTTTTTAGAGAAAAAACGCACACCTTAGCGGTGGTCGGACACAAAATGCAAACCGGGGCTAATTTATGCTCCTGCCAATCATTGGAAATAATTGCACTAGCATGGCATATAATGGCGGTTCGGGCCCCGTCATTTTCCCCCTTCCGGCTCTATCTCAGGTACTTAAAGGGGTTTCCATCAGCTCCTGATTTTTCAAGAGAGACCTCTCAGACAGAGAGATGACAATGGGCTCTCAACGGCTCATAATTAGGCCACTTTCCTGCTCAGTTTGCTGGGCGTCTACATTTGCATTATGGAGCCCGGTTTGGGTGCCTGAGCCCTTTGATCCTCCACTTCCCGGGACGTCCCCCCCCCCCCCCCCCCCCCCCCCCCCCCCTCCACCCCCCCGTCCCCACGGCGACCCGGATCTGTTAATTAGATGGACCGGGTCCAGCGTTTGTGTCAGCGTGTTGTGACTGAGGATCCGGAGTGCGAGCAGAAGAGCAGCGGAGGCTTTTTTTATTTTTTATTTTTTTTAGCTTTTGATTTGAGTCCCGTGAAAGAATGAGATGCTTTAACTCACAGAGAGACTCTGCTGCCCCCCGGTGGCCGCAGGGCGCCACAGCAGCCAGCCAAATCCGTCTGGCTGCAGGAACTAAGGATGGATGTCCAACCCCACCCACATCCAAGACGGCCATTTTGATTAGGTCACCAATAGGAAAATCCCAGGCAAGAAAGTCCTAATTGCTTCATGGAAATATAGACGTTAATTTAAGAATAGTGAAATGAATCTTGCAAACACTGAATTAAACTCTATACATGATATTATGTTAAAATAGTGTGTGTTAAATTGGTTTCTACAATAAGTCCAAACAAGTTTAACCAAAAAATATTTATTTCTCACAATTATGAAGGGTGGAGGGTTAGGTTTAGGGTTAGATTTAGGGTCAGGGTTAGGCTTAGGAGATGTTTTCTTCCGATTTCATATAGACATTAAAGTTTCGTTTACACCTCAGAAAGCTGCTAGTCACATGACCTAATCAAAATGGCCGACTTGGATGTGGGATGAGTTGGACATCCATCCTTGGCTTCCTACAGGCTGCAGCCAGAGGCTTCTTTTCCCAGGTGGCGTCCTCTGACCCCCCTCTGTTTTTCCAATGGGGAAACACCAAAACCCGAACCGTTCGTTATCTTTCCCGATTCTGAATCTGCTCTCCGATAATACCCGGCCTGTCCCTGTTCTCTGGGATGTAATTAGCAGCTTGGATGGTGTTTTCCTTTCAGATGGCCCTTAATTCTGGGATTTGTTGCTCACGAAAGCAGCTCTCCCATCTCTTCCCCTCTGCGGATTTTCGAGCAGTAGGCGTCTCTGATTCGGTGCTGAAAATAAATCGCCACCCTCCCACCAGCATTGCGAGCGAGTCCAGATGGTTGAGTTTTCACTGACGTCCTCCCGCTGAATTTCCCCATTGTCTTCCACTCTAAAATTAGGAGGTAATACTCGGCGAAAACGCTGCGTCTGCTCAGATGGAGCTGCTTAATTATCGGGAACTTGGATTTATGTTCCGCCCCCAGATGAGCCGTGGAGCCTTTATTGTTTGAGAGGGTCGAGTCCAAAGCAAAAACCCTGAAACTGGATGACCAAACAGAGCGTTTATGATCAGAGATCCCTCTCCAAAGTCTCTTTTTTTGAGAGGCCGTTTAGCTTATTGAAGTTATCTGTTCAGCTGAGGTGCGTTTCCCACCTCGGCCTTGTGTTAAAGGCCGTTTCCAGCACAGAAAAATGGCAATTCGATGTAATCTTTGCTGTTTTCCAGCAGCGAATAACAACAGATTAATCACTCTGCTACAAACGAGCAGACAGACAGCAGGAAACAACCATTTTTAGGAGAGTTTTCTCAGGCGGTGTGTGACAAATGACTGTTTTATCTTGAAATGCAGCAAGGGCTTAAATTCATAGGGGAATAAATCCACTGTTATGAGGTTTGGATTAAACCATCTGCATGATTTGGCATTTCTCTCCATCTCTGCAAGCTAAGTGTCTGCAGAAAGCCAAAATTAAGGGCTTAAACTTTTCTTTTTTTATGTGCTTTTTTAAAACATGACAGCAAACGAAAGCTCTTCCAAGGGTCGTGAGCTGACTTTATTACACAGGAAGAGGCTTAAAACCGCTCAGATTTGTGGGAAGTGGAGAATTGAAGATGTCACGCTTTTAAAAAAGATATCTTAGATGAAAAAATTAGCAATTTACTGAGATTTTCTGAGCATTTGGATTTAAAACAGGTGAATACACTGAAATTTATCATGTCTGCAGAAGCATTTTGTGGTGTCAATGCACAGGATGGTGGAGGGGCTTCAGTTTTAGGGTTTTTTAGGGGGATGTTCTTCCTGTTTAGGAGAAAAAAATACGTTTGTTTGTCCTCTTCAGGAATCAGCAGAAAACTGTCACTTCATAGCTTCTGTAGACGGTTTTAAATACCAATAACAGAACGAATGTGAGGGGAAAATGTCAGAAAATGGTCCAAAACTCCCCCAAACCTGTTCAGTTTAATCAAAACAATAGTTTTCTGAGATGGATGAGCCCTGGAGGTCAGATCCAGTCCAGTTCACCAACTGTTCACCAGCTTTAATTACTAATTTAAGGATCATTTCATTTGAACCACAACTCAAATGCAAAGCCTCATTTCTAATCATCCTCTTGGACAGACGGGACATAATAGAGCCAATTTCATGTCATCAAGTTAAGATAAACAAACAAACTCATCTGTAATGAAATCTGCATTTAAAGATAATTTTAAAAAAAACATGTGTAAAAGAAAAAGCAAAACACACTTTTATATCTTTTTATTTGGGCTTCAATACATGAATCAAGGATATGCTCATCAACACAGTCTGCTTTGGATCTCATAATACAACGCAGTGAAGTCTGGACTGAACTACAGCCCTATGTACACATAATTTTAGAGATCTGCATTTTCTGATAGAACATTTATACTGAATAGCGACTGACGACATACGATCACGAGGCCGTTTTGCATTTTAGCTGCTAAGTCTTAAATGCACTCCCACAGCAGATGTTCAGTCACTTGTAGCTCTATGATGAGCGTGCACGTGAGCACGTGTGCGTGCACGTGAGCAGGCCTGGCCCTGGAAGTCCCAATAGAGCAAATGGAGCCATGTTTGGATTCGACCCGATGATAAATAAGCAGAGCGGGTTCCCAGAGCTGCTCCACCTGCTCGGAAAATGGCCGCCGGCCCCTTTAGAACTCCCCTTTCTCTCTCTTTCTTTTTTCCTTTTTAATCAAAAAAGTTCAAGACCTGAGATTTTTAGTGGAACATGTTTCAACAAAAACAGAATAAAAGAAGTGTAAACGGTCACGATGGCTGAAACATGCACGTCTGCTCCGTTTCATCTCTCTTTTTTCAGCCATTCCTAAAACTTTGTGGGTTTTTTTGGTGTTTCCGGGCAGAAACAAACACCTTTTACGCCTTTTAAAATTTACACCGGTAAAGACCAGAAGGGTCGACGCACGCGGACTTCTGATAACTTAAGACGATAATAGAGTCTTTTAAACCTATATAAAAACGCGGAGGCTCCGCCCCCTTTTCGGGCTACAGGTTCATTCCTTGGGCACTTAGTAAGGAGTCCAGCATGTCGAAGGTGTTTTTGTAGTCCGTGTGTTGGCCGTTGGGCAGCAGCACGCCGTTCGGCCCGTCGTGCGTTTCTAGCGCCCGCTGCCCGCCGTCCGGCCCAAAGTGGGCGGAGCCTAAGCCTCCCTTGGACGCCCTGCTGCTCTTGGAGTGGTGGTTGTGGTGATGGTGGTGGTGGTTGCCGTGGTTTCCGCCCTCGTGCGGCCGCTTCCGGGACGAGCCGCCGCCGTCGTGGTGACTGCCGCCATGGTGATGGCCGCCGCCGGCGCCCTCCACGGCGCCACGCCCCCCCCCGCCGCCGCCATGTTTGGAGTGGCGATGGCCGCCGTGCTCTTTGTGCTTGTCTTTGCCGCTTTGGTCCGAAACGCCGTGGCGATCTGACGACACCTTGATGCGCATCTTGAACTCCTCGCCAACGCCACCGACGCCGTTCCCAACGCCGTTTTCCGTGTAGGCACGCGGCTTCTTGGAGCCGGACCGCTCCCGCCTGCCCTCGCCTGATTGGCCGGCGTGCTGCGGCTGGGAACGCTTCCTGTGGTGGTGCGAAGTCGGCGGGAAGGAATCCGCGTCCTCCTTCACGCCGTTCTGCTCCGCCGACTGTTTCTCTCTGTACTTTTCCAGAGTCAACACTTTCTGCGGCCGCGCGAAGGCGGCGGCAGTGGCGGCCGTCGCCATGGCAACCGCCGCCGGCTCACCAACGCCGCCGCCGCCCGCTTTGTGTTTGTGTTTGACCAGCGTGAATTGGTCCGAGTTCTGCGGCGCCGGCGGGGGGGGGAACTGGTCGGCCAGCGGCTGGTAGAGGCCGAACGGCGTTGCCATGGCGTTCAGCGCCGGCATGTCGGAGCAGTCCGAGGAGCCCGACGGGAAGAAGGAGGGCGCCACCCCGGGGAGCCCGTCCAGGGACGACCCCTGGAAACCGCCGTCCACCGCCGAGCCGTCCGTCTTTGGTTTCTTAGCAGCTTGAATGGCCTAGAAAACATCAGAGGGGCGGTTTAACGACACGAAAACAACAATAAATCGTCTCATCTGGAGGCGTTTTGGAAAACTTTTGGTGCTCTCGGACCGGTTTGGGGCGGATATCTATATGTCCCGATCCGATATCTGGATTTCTGGCAGGAGAAAATGCCCTGATCCAAGTCTGACCCCACACAAGCATTAGCATTAGCGTTAGCATCTCCTGACCCACAGGTCTGTGTCCTAACCATTAAGTTGTTATCAGAGTAAATTCCTGCTCAATATGAGTCTGACAACTAAGTAAGTAGATAAATAACTTTGAACTTTAACACATGCTCTGATAGGCCGGGATCGAGATCGGGATCTGAAGTGAAAAAAGCTGGATCGGGACATCCCTATCGTAGGGATGTTTCCCCCCTTATCGAGGCTCGTGTGACTGATTCAGGAAGTGGTTGGCGGTTTGGCGCTCTATTTGAACTATAAGGGCCAGCAAAATGCAATTGAACCCCCCGCCCTCACATTTTGTCGACTTGGGACTTAATTACGAGTTTTTTTGTGATCTATTAAAGCTTCCCTTCATTGTATCATAAAGACAAACACCATATAATAGTTTATAATTTAGCTATAAGCATCACAAGCATCCATCCGTCCATTATGGTAACCGCTTATTCCCTAATAAGGTCGGGGGAGGGTCTGGAGCCTATCCCAGTAGCCAATGGGGAGGCGGGGTCACTCTGGACGGCAGCATATCAAACATCATTGATTAATTAATTCAATGCTTCAGACATTGAATAGTCATACTGTACGGTTTGCATTTATTGTCCACTAGATGGCACAATAGAGCAAAAGAAGCCCCATGAAGCTTCAACACACGAGTGAACCAATTTGAACCAATTGGATGGAACGCTTCAAAGCTTTATGAAGAATATATATAGATTATAATTTATAACAATATCATTAAAGGCCTGCAGTGGCTCTGTTAGCCCACCAGGGGGGGCAATTCCTACCCTCCAGTTTCGAATCCTCTTGAGCTTGCTGGGCGTCCTCTCCAGGATCTGAAGGAACTCGTGGGTGAGCTCTGAAAGCAAGAGGGAGGTGAGTTTAGTTTAGTTTAGTTTTATTAGGATCCCCATTAGCTGCCAAATAAATGGCCACTAGTCTTCCTGGGGTCCTCACATGAAGAAATTATATTACATTATAAACAAATCGTAAAAATAAAAATAAAAATCACAGTAGGAAATAATAAAAACATAAACAAGAGTAGAACTATACAACAGTGTTTTTCAACTTTTTTTGAGCCAAGGTACATTTTTTCACAATTTTTAAATTAATGTCTATATTGCCATGAGGCATTACTATTTTCTTGCCTGAGATCTCCCTATTGGTGACTTGGATGTGGGCGGAGTTAGATATGTACTTGATTAATGGTAGCACGTTATTATTAGCCATTAGCCGAAGCTAGCACTTCAAGGTTAACGTGTTGTTTATGACCATAAACAACGTTAAAAAAAAAAACATAAATAAATCTGAGAGAAGGGGGGCAGCGACGGCAGGTCCGGATACAACATTTTAGTATCGATACTTGTTTGAGTATCGATACTTTTGACAACCCTAGTTCCTACCGTCCAGCAGCTGTAGCGTCACGGTGCGGTCCACGTACTCCCACCAGTGCTTCCCGTCGGTGGACACGGGGATCTCCCAGTTGGACCACTTGCAGGCCAGGTGGATGCAGACGCAGGCCACCACGGTGGGCCGGTACTGCAGGCAGAAGGTGGTGAGGTGCAGGCTGGGGGGGGAGAAACACCACAGGCAAGCGCCCGTCAGCGGGGGGGTACATAACTACCAATACAGCCTACCGCCCCAGAACATTTTTATTTTATTTTATTTTCATTTTTTATTTAACCTTTATTTAATTAGGAAGTCTCATTGAGATTCGGAATCTCTTTTTCAAGAGAGACCTGGCCAAGGTAGCAGCCAAACCACAAAAGAAAATAAAAAAATCATACATAATACATTTTACATAATAAAATCAGAGCAATATGTTAAAACACATTGAGCATCTCAAGAAAGACAAGCACATATCTCCATCACTACACTCTTCATGGTTGCTTTGAATTCATTAATGGACACTAGAGTTTTTAATTTGAGCTTTTTCTGGAGGTTATTCCAACCCCAAGGTGTGATAAAACAAGATGGACCCAGAACAGTGGTTCTCAATCTCTGGCTGAAAAACGAGAGAGCAGAGCTCCTCCAGGTTGGAGACTGAGAAGCACCGAGGTGGGCAGGATCAGAGTTTTCAGTTTTCCCAAATCCCAAACTACTCTGCAAACCGCAATATGAGTCAGAGCCTCGAGACTTTCAGGGCCCACAATAACCGAGAGTTACCGATCAACCCCAGAAATCCCCTCAACTCTGACTCAGACCGATGAGAAAGGCAGGAAAACAATTAAATCGGATCTAAGAGCTTTAAAACATCAAACTGTAATCAAATAAAGCAGACAATTGTGGCTTCAAATACCGATTGCTATGAAGAAAATGATCAATTTCAAGTGTTTAAGTAATAACCACAGGAAAGTCCCCATAGAGAAAATCTGATGAGAAACATTAGTCACTGGCTAAAATTAAACAAAAAAAAAAAATGAATGAATTATATTTAAAAGCAACAAACTGGTCAGGATCTGATTAGTTAATTAAATGGTTTCTACTATATTTACAGTTATTTGAAGATTTCCTTGGATTGTTTAATTGTTATTTTTATGTGCAACAATGGAGGAAAACACACAACAAAGCAACATTTTAAGGTGCTAAATTGATCAGTTGTGTGTCGTTTACGAAAAATCCCCTCCAAGTTAATTCTGATGCTACAAAACAAACCAAAAAGGATTAAAAAACAATTCAGCTACTGCTGATTTTGGTCGTTTGAGCACCCTACAGCAACAATTTGGAGAATTTAAGGCTACATTACTCAACAGTTTTGATAAAAAAACAGACGCAAAAGCCCACAGAAATACAAATTTGATGTACTTTCTGTCTAAAGGTGCAAAAACAAAGTGCAAAGACTGATAAATTAAGTTAATATTTCAGTGGGAGCACACAGTAAAAGCGTCTTTCTGATGAAGAACAGTCACAAAAACCAGGAAAAGCAGATTCAGTTTGCAGCGTTTCACTGTTAGCTCCTCTGGAGGTGAAACAAATACAAAAAGAAAAACAATAAAATGAGAACCGTGAGCCGTACTTACCAAGAAACTCTATAAGTTTAAGAATCTTTAGCGGCAATCTATATTCAGGCTACCATTTCAGTGTTTTTTCTTAGACATGTGCACTCCTTTAAAAACCCCCGAGAGGTAAACAGCACCACTACACTCCACATTGTGCATTCAACCCCTTTGTGCCAACACAGATGCCCTTGTACAATACACCGCACACAGCAGCCCGGCCGGTACTGCCCGGGGGGGGGGGGGGGTCCCAGGGCCGGGCGCAGGGCGTTGGACACAGGAAGGGGGACCCTGCAGGACAGGAAGCCATAGTGGGCCATCACAGTGCAAATATGGGAACAGGATAATAACCTGTTGGTAGCCATGAAATAGGAAGTCTGTGCCAAATCCTTGCTTGCTGTAAAAGAAGAAGAAGAGGGAGATTTGTTTTAGAGGTTGTTTGATGATAGATAGATAGATAGATAGATAGATAGATAGATAGATAGATAGATAGATAGATAGATAGATAGATAGATAGATAGATAGATAGATAGATAGATAGATAGATAGAGAGGAATGGGGGGTGTCAGAGAAAGTCTGTTACAGTGAATAGATTAGGGGTGGGACGGTTCACAAAATCCACGGTTCGGTTCGATTCACGGTTTTGGGTTCGGTTCGGTATATTTGATTGTTAGGAAAATCTATTATGTCTTGTATAGTCAGGTTAAAACTGAAAGAAAAAAGCAGTCTGACATTTGATACATTATTGTGACAGTCTTAGGTTAAAAGTAGGTGAGATTCTGGCATTGCAAGAGAGGAGACAGTGCTAATTCCAACATGTGCTTCCCTCTAAATGCAAAGTGCTTCTTCTTCTTGTTTCCTACTGGTGGTTGGCTTTGGGCGCAGTAGCGCCCCCTTCTGCTCTGGAGTGTAAACGCTTCCCTCTGAGAAAAAGGAGCAGTGACTGAACCAAACGAAACACACACGAACCGAACCGAAACAGTCCAACCCAACGGTTCGGACGGTTTTCAGAAACCGTCCCATCCCTAGAATAGATCCCCATAAAAGCTGAGAGGAAAAAGGGGGGAGTACCTCGCACTAGCTGGGAACACTTCACAACATCTGTGTGAGGATGATCAACTGTTATTTCAAAACCTGAAAGCAGAACATGGAGATCAGAGGCCGGACACACGGAGGGAGGCCCAGAGAGGGGAGCCACGGGGGGGGGATGCTCACCCAGCGTTTGCAGCACTATGGTTTCCAGAGCCACCAGCTCTTGTGCCTGCAGCTGGAAAGCCTGAAAAAGAGCAATTCAACTCAATTTTATTTATATAGCACCGCATCAAAACAACAGGCATCTCCCAGCTTTCTGAGTTATTTACAGAAGAACAGCAGTTCCCATCAAGAGCAGCACTAGGCGACACAGGGAAGGAAAAACTTCCTTTAACCCTGTAATGCCAAATGTATCATATTTGATTCATACGGTTTTTCTGAAATGTTTTGTGTCTGACACCTTTTGCATAATTTAATGGTAAAAACTTTGCTCAAAATCCTATTGTACACAATCAGATACACCTGATAACAGGGGGCAGAAGACTACACAAAAAATAATCTTGACTTATCGCATAGTAATAAATTATTCATATTAAAATTTTATTTTATTTTTTTGTTTTTACATATTTTGTTAAAAGGCCAAATAAGGAATTTAAACCAATAAAAAGTCATTTTCTGTTTTGTTTTGTTCTTTGATCAGGCTTTAAAGGGTTAAGAGGCAGAAACCTAGAGCAAAACCATGGCTCAGTGTGGGGGGGCATCCCACCACAGAGGGGCGGAGACACAGCTGGGCTCATTTTGACCTGATCTGACCCGTTTGTTTGTTTTTTATTTTGTGAGAGCATTACGTATTTACACTGTTACTACTGACACTCACAATTATTTTTTGTGTGTTATATACAAGGTTAATTACATCTAATAACTGAACAAACTGGGGAAGATAGACTTGCATGAAAAAGCTAAAATAAATTAAAATATAATGTCCACTGAGCAGTTTTCAAGTAAAATGTGAGGTACATTAATCCTTTGATACAAAAAACATTCAAATAAAATAAAATAAATAACAGTATTGGATGGTCACCTGTTCCAGATTTCTGTCTGTTCAACACCAGCATATTTAACACACTTGGTCCATTTTTAGTGAAATAGTTTATTTTAATTCGGAGGGAGAAGGTGATCCTTTCCATAAGGTAAATGTAATTTACAGTACCTATCCACTCCTGTGATCTGACCTGTTTTTATGCAGATCGGCCCCAATGAGAGCCAGTTACCCCGAGACAGGAGGGGCCTGCCCTCAGGGCAACAAACAGACGATCAGAGAGGTTCAGCAGAGCCTCACACATTTAAATCAGACCAAAAAAAGTCGTCTCCTCAGACACTGAGCTGTGCGTCACCCAACCGGCTGGAAAACACGAGCTCCGTAATCACATAAATAATCGGCGTTTTATCCTCTGATGGACATGACTTTGATAGCATGAAGGCATCGAGAAAGTGAACTAAGCTGTCACTAAACTTAAGCTGCAGATTAGACTAAAATAGAACATTTTCTGTCTGTAGAGAAGATTCAGCTGTCAACAAAGGAGAAGCTGGAGAAGGATGGAAAAGGGACGATGTGAGACGACCAGACTGCCCTCAGCTCATCTCCCAGAGGCCAAACAGGTAAGACGGCTCACTTTAAATAAGCTCATTTGGTATTCAAACACAGCCTTTTCCCAAATCTAAAGAAATCAGCAGGGAAACGCTTCTGAATGTTAGTGGATCCGATTTAAACTGCACTTTTCCTCGTCTCTCTGAGCCTCTATGGCCTTTACAGTCTGTTATGTTCAGGAAAGCCTTTAAAAACACTCAAAATGGTCAAAACAACCGTCGTCTTCATCATTTCTACCTGCCAAATATTTGATTTGGTTTATTAAATATCTAATTCAGAGAGGCACAAGTTAAAGACCTCACATCCAAGTCAAAGAGGATCTCATCAGAAACCAGAAAGGAACTTATTCAACCTTTTTCATCCTGATAAAACCCTAAATCTGAGCAGTGACCTTTGCTAAACTAGTCCTCTGTGTTCTGTATCTTGTGGCTCAGGGGGAAAGGCAATTTATTAAGGATTTTTCTGTTTTTTTAAGGTCAGTTTGAGATGATTTTTCACTCCTGAAAACATTTGCTGCTCAACAGATCGACTGACAACAGTTTAATCTGAAACAAACACCAGAAAACATTAGAATCAATTATGTTTTAGATCATTTCAGGCCAAACTCATCAGGATTTCATCTGAAACGTTGGCTTTAATGTAATCTGGTTTTCTTCTTGTTATCTGAATTGGTGGAAAACACAGCTGAGTGTTTTCTGACTTCTCTGCAGACTGAAACCTTCTGAGCTCCCCAGACTCTCAATTTATCCCCCAAATGTCTGATTTAAATAAAACACCTCCACAAAAGTCCAAGCAAACCAGCGGATTTAGGGATCCCTGTCCGGGGCTTGTCGCTGTGGGTCCAAACCAACACAATGGCAGGTGAGACGGAGGCCGGGTTTGACTTACACTGCTCTTGGTGTCCAGTGCCGGCTCCTGGGGGTTGATAAAGGCGTGGGCTATTTTAATGACGTGCTCCAGCTTCCTGGGCTGCTCCTCCACTTTGGCAGCGAGGAACAACGTGGTCTGGGAAATGATCTGCAGGGAGGAGCCGGGCAAAATAAGCGTTTTTTTCTCTGTAAGAGCCACCAGGAATGGCGTTTGGAGCCCAATCTGAAGCCATACTTACATTTCTGTGGAATTTCGTGAAGGAGTGGATCATGTAAAACCTGTGCATATAAACTATAGCGGTGTTGATGATTAGTTGAGACCTGAATGAAGAGTTAAGGAAACCACATCCTGTAAAAATAACTGATCAAACATGCATGTATAAATAACACAAACTCCGGGAAACAGCCCTAAGAGGGAGGCTTTAATAAGACGCCTTCAGCCCTGTCTTCCCCATCACTTTGGTCTCCATTAATCAAGTGATTTTATGCTTTAAAATGTTTAAAAATCACTGATAGTAGTCGCTTATCGCTGTGATCAGTAGACACAAAGCTAACAATAGAATCTGCAGCCTAAACACACCAAACAATGGCTAAGCTAGCACGCAGGCCTGGGCGTCCCCACAGGGGGGGCAAATATCTCCTCATCCCGGGGGTATTTACCCCCTTTTAGGGGGGGTCCCCGCGCGGGGGGGTGAAGGCCTCAAATAATACAAATCGGTTCAATTTAACCCCAAAATATCCACGCAGTCCCAGCGCGCCCGATGCTAATGCTAACGCTAACGCTAGCAACGGTTAGCTAACAGCCGGAGTGCCGGTTAGCGCCCGTTGGTTCAGTGGGGGGGGATACACGTTGAGCCTCTGGCCGATGTCCTGGATCAGGTTGGCGGCCTGCTGCCGGTAGGAAAGCTCCCGGTCGGACTCGATCCCGGAGCGGCGCGACGGCGTGTTTTCCAACTGCTCCCGGGTGAAGAGCCATTTCGTAGATGGTCCCCGGTGCACCGCCATTACGCTCCCACAGCCGAGCCCGACGGCGTTAGCACCGGGAGGGAGTCGGGCGACGGGGGCACCGGAAGTACGAAGCGAAAAGCTCAGGCGGAAACCGGTAACGGGCTCGTTACACAGCGACCCCCAGTGGCCGGCGGGTGAACTACATGCACATAGATAGATAGATAGATAGATAGATAGATAGATAGATAGATAGATAGATAGATAGATAGATAGATAGATAGATAGATAGATAGATAGATAGATAGATAGATAGATAGATAGATAGATAGATAGATAGATAGATAGATAGATGGTTAAAGGATATTTTAAATATATGTATATATTCTTTGGCTTTTCATCCAACATTGAAAGAAAGATTAAAAATAAAATGTTGAAATACCCGGATGAGCCTCAAGAGATCACACTTAGCCTTTAAAATCAGCTGGACTCTTCTTACACACAGCAGATGTTGACTTTCTTCTCCGTTTATAACCACATTAATTATAGAGTAAACAGAAAACTTAATAGTTTTAGCATTTGTGGCTGCATTTCTGTGCATCTTCCACTAAAGGGCGACAGAGACTAAGAGCAGAGCTGCAGACGGATGGCACCGAGTTTTTTTGGTTCCTTGAGGCTAAAAGTTATTGAAAAAGCGTTATAACACATAACATCAAGCAAATTTGAATGTTTTTTCTCTGTAATGTTTGTTTCCTCATATGTGTAAAAGAAAAAAAAACAACTTATACGGTTAGTAAATAGATGAAAAGTTGATTATTAGTTATCAATAACACTAATAATGGTGATTATAGTGATAATTTAGATCTGAACTGACGTTCTCAGAGCAGACATGTTTCGGGCCATGGTGTTTGGTAAAGTACTGAGTTTATTCTCGGAGCAGACTGGGGGTTATTTCTTGTTTCTTGTTTGCGAGCGCGCGCTCCCCCATCACGGGACAGAGGTGTTTCCTCGCGCAGAGCTCAGCGCGCGCGCGGCGACTCCGGGAAGCTGCAGCGCGAGGACAAGTCTCGTGCAGCCCTGAGCCCGTAATTAGAGACCAGGTGCGGCGGTTCGGAGTCTGCTGCGACTATTTTTCTCCCCCGTTTGACTCCCAGCCCGATGACATCTTTTTATCAGGTTTGTCGCCTCGTAGGAGTTCTACTTCCGGTTTTATCCTCTAAATAAAACCTTCTCTAATTCTGTCGTTTTAGCTAAAAGTTTAGCAAATTACAGGAAACGTGTTAAGAGTTTAGATACCAGCGGAGTCGCTAGCTTCTGATTATAGACACGAAAGCAGTTTAAAACTACATTTTAGCCCAATAAAACAACATTTTGGGGTTTAAACGACACGGTTCTGTCGTTTAAAACACCTTAAACTTGATTTTCTGGTCAAATTAAAGCGTCAAGCGTCCACATGGAGGTCTGCTTTATTCTGAAGCCTCCAATTTCCGGCGCTATCTCACTTTCAGGGCGCAATTTAGCGCAGCTGGACCGGAGAGTCAGCGAGGAATCTCCCCCCTCCTCCTCTTCCTCTCCCTCCTCTTCCTCCTCCTCCTCCTCCCTCTGACAGACTGCGCCTCTCACCCAGGTGGGACATATTTGGAGTGGACCCGCAAGATGACAGACCCCTCTCAGCCAGACCCCGTCCCGGACCAGGCTCCTCCCGGGCCGGACCCCGCCGTGCTGAACGGGATGCGCGACCCTGCGGACCCCCAGAAACAGGAGCCGGAGCCCGGGGCGCAAAGTCTCAAGATGGACCAGGAGATGAAGATAACGGACAGCGTGGATGAGGGAGGTAGGTGGTGCCAGATAGGATCCGGGGGGGCTTCCTGTGCGCAGCCGGCAGGGCGTGATAATGTCTGTTTACTGCGTCTGAAATCTGATTAAAACAGCAGCAGAAATCATCCCCGTCTAATCTGGTGATAAACGACTCAAAGACCTGAAGGCAGAAGTGGAAGGCAGAGTGTGAGAAGCAGAATTGTTTCAGAAATGAGCAAAAAAATACTGTGTAGAGAGGATGTTTTAAATGCAAAGAGAGCAAACTTTGACCTTAAATAATGCCTCACCCAAGAAATGTGTTTATTTATTTATATGTATGGTCATTCATCTGCCCCTAAACACAATTTAAGATAAATAACCAAACATAAATGGTGTTTTTTATATAAACAGATACCCATTTTAACTGTAAAATGATACAAAAATGTATACATTATTGTATTCAGAAGGATTTTTACCATATGGATACACAAAAAGCCTCAAATACATGAATCAAACGAGGCATCGTTATGTTGAACATGAACAGCTGGCTTTGTTTTAGGACATGTTTCATCATAAAGTAATTAAACAAGAGCCAATTTTACTCGAGTGGGCCTCAGAGAGATCCAGCCACAGAAGCAGAGAGATGAGGAGCTGTATTAGGATTTAGTGGAGTCAAAGTCTGAGAGGTTCAGTTTGTGTTATCTGGGTAATTTGACGATGATTTGCCTGTTCATATTACGTGATGTAATATAATAGTGTTCACAGTTTGTTCCTCTGACAGTTGAACACTGAAGTTCCTGTTTATTCACCAGTTGTTACAGGTAATGTTGATATTTCTGGGGTTACTTTCACACACAGTGTCACAGAATGGCTTAAATAAATAAAGAGACAAAACCACTTAATTAAAAACAAAGAAGTAAACTTCTTCATATTTGCTTTCTTGTAGTCTTACTTAGAATTTCTCACGGTTCTCTGGAGGGCTTTATTAGGACATTTTCTGCTATTTAAAAATTAATTTGCAGTCTAATTTTTCTAATTTAGCCACTTAACTCTGAGCTATAAGTTATTCAGGTGAAAAAAGGCCCTTAACTCAAGGTATGAGCCAGCGTCTGCAGTTTAAAGTGGATTTTTAGGCTCTTTTTTAGCAGCTGCTGTCACAGAGACACATAATTTGTTCCATTTCTTTAGCTGATGGCTGAAAAAGGCCAAAGAAAACACAGTTTGACAGACAGGAAACAGGATTTCTGAGGATTCCCAAAGAGCTGCTGGCTGGAAACTGGGCAGATCTCAGTTGGTGAGCAGAGTCCTGAAAACATCTGAGGAAAATGGACAAAAGAAGAAGAGTTGGGCCTGAAAAACTCTGTAATCCAGCAGAGAGCTGAACAGGAGCTGAGAGCTGCATCTGGACCTCCAGCTGATCGTCTCCTGGTGGCTGAATCAGAAATGCTCTCCATGAAGGGGGGCTGTAAGAAGCCATGAAGGAAGGAAACAGGAGCAAAGGCTGAGCTCTGCCAGAGGAACCAGAAGTGGACTCACTCTGAGTTTTACACCAAAAAAGGCAAAAACAAAGCTAAAAATACACCAAAAAAGCAAAAAATATAGCTAAAATGACCATATATTCACAAAAATAAAAAAACTAAGCCAAATATGACCACAAATACAACAAAAATAGAGCTAGAATGACCAAAATAAAGCAAAAACAGAGATAAATGTATCAAGTCAGGTACTTAACAGCAGCTAAAACCCTCCAGAGTTCCCACAGTGGGTCAGAAAACAGCTCTGATGGAGGGATGGATCTTCACTCCTTTGAGTGTTTTAATACACCAAAAAAAGCAAAAGCAAAGTTAAATGACCAAAAATACACCAAAAACACACTAAAATACACAAAAAAAGCCCAAAATAGAGCTAAAATGACCATATATTCACAAAAATGAAAGAACAAAGCCAAAAATGACCACAAATACAACTAAAATAGAGCTAAAATGACCAAAATAAAGCAAAACGGAGCCAAAGGCAGCAGCAGCTTCCAGGGAAGAGCTTCGGGACGTCCTTCAAGTAGCCGTAGAGCTTTTCCTGAACGTTCCTCACCGCTCAGAGCCGCTGGCAGAGGCTCAGAGACGGAGGGGAGAGCAAATATTGGCTTTGGAGCCAGTTTGGATGCTCCAGAATCTGCGTTTTTTGTCCTGTGGCTGGTTGTGTTTGACAGGCTGCTGTTTCCCCTGGTTGGTTGAGTGTCTCTGTGCTCTCTTTAGGCTG